GGTACCAGTACCTTTTCAGTGAGGGACCTCTGTGGTAAAGCAGGCTGGGACTCATGACCCAAGGCAAAATGGAAGGCTGGCTTCCCCCTGAATCATCAGCTCAGGTCCCGTGAGAGCTTCTATTTCCGGGAAGACTATGGATTGCCGACACTGGCTGCTCTAATGGTATTTGTACTAGGCTGAAAACAGTTACTTGCACCAGCACGCTGTGGTGGTCACAGATGTTTGGAGATCCTGGAGGTCTGAAAGGAGGCTGCGGAAGCCTCTGTGGTATAGGAGTTTGGGGAGGGAGACACTAATGGAGTGACCGTTCTTTGGTCAGACTCTAGAGCCACGTGCTTTCCCATTCAGAGTCATCCAGTTGTAGGTATCTGGTGACGAGGCCAGCAGAGCAGGTTAACTTTGCAACAGCTCAGATTGTTGTGGCTCAAGGGCACGTGCCCCATGCTGTGCCTTCTACCCTCGCACCTCACAGCCCCTGCTCTTGGTAGAGAAATCTTCCGAGTGGCACAGGAGTGGATTTCCAAAGATGCTTCCCAGTAAGCAGGCAAAGTCCGCTTGAGATGGGAAACTAAGAGCTGTCAAGGACCTCAGGAGAGCAAGGGAAGGATGGGGTCCTGCCGCTGAGACGTCAGGAGGTCCTCAGATGGTACCTGCGGAGAACCGCGGGGCGCACCGCCATGTTCCAGAACCACAGTACTTCCGGATGGCCTGTGGAATGAAGATTCTCGGAGCCCTCGCACTTCAGTCGAGGTGCCGACGGGATGGCAAGCAAAGGCCTGATGGGGACCGAGTCCTCCCTCCTCAGTCCTTCAGTTCCTCCTAAGTAGTAGCCCTGATGTGGGGAAAAGAAGAGTGGCACACATGACAATCGGGGTTCAGCAAAATTCAAGATTCTCCCAGCATATGAAAGCATTTTTGTCATCTTCTGTTACTCATTTTTAGTCTATACATACCACTTAAAGTGTAGTGGGGGTTTTTCACAAGTGTGTAGTAACACCACAAAGGATGAACCCCAGAACACTCCTGTACTAAACCCCTTCACCACTGGCCACACTCATCTGTGTTATTCTCCCAAGTTTGTCTTTCCCATAATGTAATATAAACAACACACTGCCCTCGGAGTCATTTGTGAAACTTGATGGCAAATTTGTCAAGGTGGAAATTTCTGGCCGTGCTTTTCTGAGTTTAAAATTGTGATGATGCCTAGTTGAGTAGGTAGCACCCATCAGACCTCCAAGTGCGAGCGAGTCCATTACTGTGAGCTGTGAGCCTGGACCCTGCTCTTCTGTGCTCAAGTTTCTCTTTTGTGAGATGAAGGAATGCTGGTGGAGGCATCCAATGAGAGACTAATAATCGTGAACTTACCACAACAGTGCTAAAAAAAAAAAAAGTCATTACTAAAAAATGAGTAAGATTTCCTTTGCTCATAAAACTCACGATGGTCACTTTTATATCCGCCTAGTCCGTCACACGTGCTGGAAGTGTAAGCATTTGGAAATGACACGTGCGGACAGTGAGGTGGGCTGTGGGGCTTTGTGGGTCAAACAGAAAGCTTCCAATTACTCCTCTTACAGAAAGATATTATTTCCCGTATTTCCTTTTACATAAAATGAGGGCATTACTCAAAACGATACTTTGTGTCTGCAGCTCTCCTTAGTTATTCCTTGAATAACCGCCTTCTAAAGCTAGCTATTTCTGGTGTTTCCACTGGGAAATCATAGCGGGCTTGTGTAAATAGCTCCCTCTGCCCAGAATGAACTGGAAGAACTAGAACAGGGCAGATCATCATAAACCTTTTCAAACTGGGAGACACCCCAGGGCTTAATGGGGTTTTATATTAGGCAGTTAGTACACAAGCAAAGTTTAGGTGCCAAATACTGTAAAACTTAAATACAGGTAAATTGAAATGCTCTCAAAAATGATGTTAAACACGAAAAAAATACCATAGATACCTGTGGCCCAAATCTGTGGTAAGTTTCAAGCCCCAGATACCCAGGCCCAAACCCAAGATCACAAATTACATACCGAAAACTGCAAAAAGGAAGATGAACTAGGTCTGTATCTTTACGGGGAATCGTTACTGTTAATCACAGCAATGCCAGACTTTCTCCATTTCTACTGCCCTCTATGTACTTCCACACCCAAGCTGTTCCCGAAAGTGTTGAAGACGTACTGCATGGTGGGAATTCCAGGGGTCAGTAGTGACCTCCCTGCTCACTCAGGTTCCTATCCTCATAGGAAAGTATACACGCTCCTAGCTTCCCTGTTAATGTCATTTCTATCAAAGCCCGTATTTCTTCTTATCTCAAATTTTACTATTTGTTAACCATCTCTTTTCCCACAAAAATATGAGCACCAAGACTGTAAGAACTTGTGTTTAATGCCTCTATATTGAAATCCTACACTGATTTTACTATCTTTGCTCCATTGGGTATGTTTTGAGTACACAGCGTCTGACAGAGGAGGGATGTTCAAAAATTAGCATCAAGAGTAGTCACCGAGCAAGAAAGGCGTGATCAGAACAGTAGTGTTCTCTTTTTTTCGCCCATTAGGTAAATTGTGAGAAAACAAAACCTAAACTTACAGGCTCAGTGACATCATAAAGGAGATATTAAACATAGTTTACTGAGGAGCGAATTTACATATTTTCACTGAGGTTCTCTGTGAATGGTCCATCAGTTCACTGTAGGAAATATACTGTTTAGATAACAAGTGGGAAGGGCAAGAGTTCTGGAGACTGTGCTGGCCTTGCCAAGTCGTATTGTGTTGAAGAGAAAAATACCAAATACTTCCACCAGACAAAGCAGTTTGGTGATCATGATGGATCAAGACAAAAAGAAGGGTATTTTTTAACTATGTTTTTCAAAATGGGAAAAAGACAATTCTAAGTCACAAAAATGACCCAAACTCTCTTCTTAAAAATATGACTGAGTGGAGCTTCTTACAGGCTTAGCCCCACTATACTGGTAATCATAATCATTTTCTGGAAGGTAAAGACAATGGTGGAATTAAGTTTACCTCCACAAAGCATCCAGTACATCCAGAAACTTCTTGCCTTTACTGAATAGTAATCAAATCACCTAGCAAAAACCCAGGTCATGTAAGTCCTTTTAACACTCTCTTACTGATAAATCCAGTCATTTAGGGTGTGCAGTCCTTTTTTAAGTAGGGCTCCATACCCAGCTTGGAGCCCAACGTGGGGCTCAAATTCACAACCCTGAGACCACGACCTGATTGAGAGTCATATGCTCAACCGAGCCACTGAGGCGCCCGTTATTCCTGGAGTTTATCACACCACTGCTGACTACTGATGGAAACACAGTGGGTTTTGTCTAGCAAGATGACACTGACCAAATGAGAAGTTAGTTTCTTGACAGAGACCATACCTGTAAAAGAATGAGAAGTACCTCAGCATGTACACACAAGCTAATATTGAGAATGTGTGCTAAACTTGACAAAATTACAAAGCTGATCTGAAAATCCATAATTACAATGGGATATTTTAATATATACTCTCAGGAAATGAGAGACTCGGTATTTGGTAGCATACAAATTGTATTAAAACAGTTAATAAAATATTTTAAGATTTTGAGAGTAAGAACGAGCTCAAGAACACAATTCGGGGAGAGGGGCAGAGGGAGTGAAAGCAGCAGACTTCCCACTGAGCAGGGAGCTCAACAGGGGGCTTGATCCCAGGACCCTTAGATCATGACCTGAGCCAAAGGCAGAGGCTTAACCCACTGAGACACCCAAGTGCCCCAGGACCCTGAGATCTTGACCTGAGTCAAAGGTAGGCGCTTAACCATCTGAGCCACCCAGGTGCCCCAGTTAATGTTTTAAGAAATGACTACGGAAGATTTTATTTGACAAATGCATTGCTTTTAATCACATACAAACATACTTGAAGATATACTGAGGAATTACACGCAGCTGTGAACTGAGGGACACATCCATAATCAGCCTTGATACGAGGGAGGGGCCAGTTCTCACAGTCGCGGCACAGCAGAGGACCGAAGTCCAAGGTGGTTCTTTTGGATGGCATCACTGTAGCTATCGCAGTGGAATCAGGAACACGTGGTCACTAGCAGTATTACCAAAACAAGGTGTTTACTACACAAATTAGACCTTAAATGAATACAGTATAGAGGAGAGTCTGAGCAGCAGAGAATACTCCCAACCATGAAAGTTCCAATTAGTCGCCTGGATGCATGAGGGCTGGCAGGAAAATCCAAACTGTGGTGCATCTTTGATGCAGAACCTGTGAAGGTGTATGTGGAACCTCACCTCTGAGAAATGGAAGTCGGGCAGTTAACTGTGGTTCTGAGGGCACTCTTGACTGGTGAGGCAAGCGATCAGGAAAACAGGTTGCAAGCAGGTTATCCTCCAAGCTCCTATACAGCTTCTGTCTGTCTGTCAGCTCTGAAACCTAATGCCTCCAGTACTCCGGCCTTCCAAACCTCATGCAAGTGAGGCTACAGGTAGAATCACAAAGGGAACAGATTCTAGAAAATGTCACATTACCCAGGTGACAAAAACTGGTTTTCTCCTAAGAAAGATGGAATATTTGATGGGTAATGGATATCCAGTAGCTGACAGAGGCGGCCAGTGGGAAAATCCCAACAAATACCAAAATGTCATTTATCAGCAATTCTAAACCATTATTTTAAAATTAAACCTACTCGCACATTTAGAAACCACCTCAATTCATCCATGGATCAAACTCCAAAATGGAAAGAGAAAAATGTTACTGATTGGAGGAGAAAACAAATATCTATTAATCTTTAAACAACAGTAATGAGTACTTACAGAATTATCACACCTCAATGTTCATTTTTGAAAGTAGTAAATATCCACAGTCCAGAGATCCACTTTAAGAATGAGGCACTGATAAAGACAATATATTTATAACTTTTATAATGATTGAGGTTACAGTTTTCTAGAACATTACATAGGGATTCATTTGAATCAGGCTTTCTTATATCTGTTGGACTGCTCTCCCGTGGGGCTTTCACATGTGAGGATGTAGGTTCACTGATGTTTTTCCCACACTACTTACATTCGGGAAGTTTCTATTCAGTGTGAGATCTCTCATGCCTTCGAAATGAATTGGGACGACTGAAGGCTTTTCCACATTCTTTACATTTGTACGGTTTCTCGCCAGTGTGCATTCTCACGTGTCCTCGAAAGGTAGTGCGATAAATGAAGGCCTTTCCACATTCCTTACACTCATAGGGTTTTTCTCCAGTGTGCGTTTTCTCGTGTGTCCGAAAGGACGTGTAACAACTGAAAGCTCTACCACACTGTTTACATTCATAGGGCTTCTCTCCTGTGTGAGTCCTTTCGTGTATCCGAAAGGAACTGGGAAAATTGAAGGCTTTCCCACATTCCTTGCATTTATAAGGCCCATCTCCAGTGTGCATGATCATGTGCGTTCGAACGCTTGAGGGAGAGATGAAGGCTTTCCCACATTCCTCACATTTATAGGGTTTCTCTCCAGTGTGCTTTCTCATGTGTCCCTGAAAGGTTGTGCGATAAATGAAGGTTTTGCCACACTCCTTACATTCATAAGGTTTCTCGCCAGTGTGCGTTCTTTCGTGTATTCGAAAGGAACTGGGCCAACTGAAGGTTTTCCCACACTGCTTACATTCATAGGGTTTCTCTCCAGTGTGAGTCCTTTCATGAGATCGAAAGGAACTGGGACAAATGAAGGCTTTCCCACATTCCTTACACTTATAAGGTCCATCCCCAGTGTGTGTGATCATGTGGGTTCGAATGCTTGACAGAGAAATGAAGGCTTTCCCGCATTCCTTACATTCATAAGGTTTCTCTCCTGTGTGAATTCTTTCATGTATTCGCAAACCTAGAGGGGAGCTGAAGGTTTTCTCACACTGTTTACATTCATACTGTTTCTCTGCAGTGTGAGTCCTTTCGTGTCTTCGAAAGGAACTGGGACAACTGAGGGCTTTCCCACACTGCTTACACTCGTAGGGTTTCTCTCCGGTGTGATTTCTTTCATGTATTCGCAGACCCAGAGGGGACCTGAGGGATTTACCGCATTGTTTACACTGATAGGGTTTCTCTCCAGTGTGAGTTCTCTCGTGTGTTCGCAACGAAGTGGAACAACTGAAAGCCTTCCCACATTCCTTACATTTGTAAGGTCCCTCTCCCGTGTGAGTTATCATGTGTCTTCGGTAAGTCGTGAGCCACGTGAAAGCTTTCCCACATTCCTGACATTCGTAGGGCTTTTCCCCAGTGTGCGTCCTCTCGTGTCTGTGAACAGATTTGCGGTAACTGAAGGCTTTCCCGCATTCCTTACACTTGTATGGCTTCTCTTCACATTCGTGGTACTCATATGGCTTATGTCCACTGTGAGATCTGATGTGCCTACTAAGGGACGAATGACGCACAAAGACTTTTCCACACACGCTACAGTCACATGGTTTTACTCCAGAAGGCGTTTCCTTGTTCAGATTAAGATCTGGAGTCTGGATGATGGTTTCTCTACACTGACGACCTTCAGGTGATTTTATTCCAGAAGGACTTTTCTTATTCAGATTAAGGTCTGGAGTCTGGGTGATAGTTTCTCCACACTGATGACCTTCAGGTGATTTTATTCCAGAAGGCGTTTTCTTGTTCAGAATAAGATCTGGAGTCTGAGTGATGGTTTCTCTATACTGAGGACCTTCAGATGGTTTTATTCCAGAAGGACTTTCCTTGTTCAGATTAAGATCTGGAGTCTGGGTGATGGTTTCTCCACAGTGATCCTCTTTGTTTTCATAAGGTTTTTCTACCATATGACTTCTGTAAAGAATGAGAAATATATGAATGATTTCTTGGTTATTCGTATTAGTAGGATACTAGAATTACATTTTTTATAATTTATAGCACAATGAAGGTTTCCTGCCCTTTCTGAAGTGTTTGAAAAATTAATAGACCAAATGTTTCATAAACAGAACCTGACCACAGCTATCATGTAAACAAAGATTATTAACATACAGGGTTGTTTGTTTATTTATTAGAGACTGAGAGTGAGTGAGCACAAGCAGGGGGAGCAGCAAGCAGAAACAGGCTCCCCACTGGGCAAGGAGCCCGATGCAGGACTTGATCCCAGGACCCTGAGATCATGACCTGAGCCAAAGGCAGGCACATAACAGACTGAACCACCCAGGCATCTCAACATACAGGGTTTTTCTTTATGCTGTTTCCAAGTGGACAGTTTTGCAAACACTGAACACCTATGTCCTATTTAAGTAAATATTGTCAGTGAAAAAAATTTAAGGATAAATTTGAACACTTTGGGTTTTATTTATTTATTTAAAGATTTTATTTATCCATTTGACAGAGAGAGAACAAGCATGGGGAGTGGCAAGCAGAGGGTGAGGGAGAAACAGGTTCCCTATGGGACTCCATCCCAGGGTCCTGGGATCAAACCCCGCATCGGGCTCTCTGCTCAGCGGGGAGCCTGCTTCCTCTTCTCTCTCTCTGCCTGCCTCTCTGCCTACTTGTGATCTCTGTCAAATAAATAAAATCTTAAAAAAAAACTCCTGCTATAGAAGGATTCTCACCTGGGACACTGCTATACTGTGTGACTCACCTTAGTTTTCTCCCCTGCGTATAGTACCCATCTTCAGTGTCATGATCTTCCCATTTTTTCCCTAAAATGCAAATGGAGAAAAATAATTCCATGTTTTTAGAAATTATAAAAAATTACTAGATTTTAGGTCTATGTGAGCTTAGCTTACTAATGTATTCTTTTCCCACATGTTAGAACAAGACTGATGGGCAAGGAATACTTATTCTCTAACTGCTAATGTTCAGTAAGAATGTCATCATCTTTACCTACTGAGGCCAGGTTTCTGAAGGTTTCCCGCATCACATCTCTGTAAAGTTTCTTCTGCGAAGAATCCAGTAAAACCCACTCTTCCAGGCTGAAGTTCACAGCCACATCCTCAAAGGTCACTGAATCCTAAAACATCCCAAATATGTTCACAGTAGCATACGTGAGTCTAACAGCACTGGGGATATATACTCAATTTATAGGAAGGTTGTGTTATGTATGTGATTCTGTGGTCTCCAGACATTTACATCTTGGTCATGAGAATTTACTTTCTGTTCCCACTTCCTCATAAATTTAGCATCATGAACACATGCAAATTATTTTCTCATCGTTACTGTGAACACTTTAAATGTTACTGTTCTCTAATGGCTGCATCTAGAGCACCTTGGAGAAATGCTATACAAATGAGACAAGTGTTATTTTAAGCACACTAATTCCTGTTGAGAAAGACGCTCTCATCTCCTTCCTTCTTACGTACCATTTAACTCAGCACTCCATGACGCACCGGCTCGAGTCTGCACAAGGTTTTAATGAGTAAAACACAGTGAAGAACCGGAAGCTTGTTCTAGTCCCAGCACCAACCACGAGCGTCCCGGAGGCCTGTGGAAATGCAACTTGTAACAAGGATCAGCTTTCCGTGTCGGCCGGAAGTCCTCCAGGCCGTCACAAGTAGCCAGACGTAGCTGGACAAAGGCAAATATTCTTGTGCAGAAGCCGTACTCTGCACCAGTGCGGTACTTACTGCATCCGTTTTTCCGTTATCTCCATCCCGTTCACGGATCCAAAAATTATTCAGAAGCGACGGCTCCAAGGTCTCCACAGAAACCCCGTCCAGTGAGCCTCAGGGCTGCTTCTCACTTTTTAGGACACATACTGAGTTGAGAAGGTGCTAGAAGAACTCTTTTTGGTCAAACCATAACAGCGTCCTTGGCCCACGCTAACCTTGACGAATACGTTAAGGGCTGCGGGTCGCGAGGGAGTTCACGAACATCCACAATGGCTTGATGGTGAGTCTGTTCATGAGTGTTAAATAAAGGATTCAGCAGTGCTCTCCTCCAAGAGAAAATAAAATCTCCATCCTCCAATTTCAGGAGGAAGTTCCCGACCAGTCCCTCTAGAGGGGACCCTCTCATTTTCTCTCATTTAGGAGCTGTGACGTGGTGCACAGAAGCACCACAGCCAACCCCCGAGTACAGGAATCCCTAAGCTGAGGACACCAGGTACTGCTGAGAAAGGATAAGCGCGTTCACTCCGGAACTGAGGTCCCCGGGGAGGAAGGCAGGCCTCTCAAGCTGGCATGAAATGGCTTGAGAGACCAGGGAAAAGCAGGCAGACTTTTTTTCTGAGGCTGTGAGTGGACTAAAGGTTCACACACAAGGGCAGGAGCCTGTATGAACAGAACCTCGTGCCGCTGCCAAAGCAGGAAGCACTAGGCTTTCTCTCTGTCTTGGATAGAAGCGGACCAAGGAGGGAGGATGAGGGATGAGTTTCAAAGCTGTGAGCATCAAGCATCAAAAATCAGAGCCAGAGATCTGGTTGTTGTTTGTCAAATAATGAACTCAGAAGCAGTCTCTCCCTCACAAGGAAAAAGCAAAAAACTTAAAATGAAACAACTCTTCTTAGATTCCCCCAGAGAACTGAGGACACAGGGCAAACCACAGTCTTCAAAATTGGAGACAGAAAAGAAGCTATTTTGAAATATGCCCAGAATATTCTATTCTTAACAAGGCCTGTGTTCAGAAGAATCTGTTTCACTGTAGCCTAAGCAAACAGGGAAAAAAAAGAAGAACACACTCTCCAAGAACTTTGGGATAATGACAAGGATAAAATACACAAAATGGGACTAATTGATGGAAAAGAAAGGCAGAAAGGAACAGAAAAAGTGAATCTTCCTACCATTCAAGAGAAGCTAAGAGAAGACAAAAGGGAAAATGAGGGGGGGGGAAAAACCCCAAACGACTGAAAAGGCAAATTCAAGCAAATCCTATTCAAACTGTAGAAAAATAAAAAAACAAAGAGAATATAGAATATAGAGAAGGAAGCCAGGGGTGGGAGGGGAGGGGGGAGGAACAAACCTCAGTCACACTGAAATGAAGGTAAGAATTAAACAGGACTTCTTTCCAAAACCATTTCAGCAAGAAAGAGACTGGAGTGAAACACTTAAGGTGTTGAAAGTAAACAACCACCGCCCTACAATTCTGTTAGAACTGTTCTTAAAAAATGGAGAAGAAATAAGGACTTTCTGAGGCAAAAATTGAGGAATTTGACATGAGTACACTTGTTTTTCAAAGAACATGAAAAGAAATTCACTGGGAGGTACATAAGAAAGAGCATTAGGAAAGAAACTAACGAAGGTAAAATACCTTTTCTTTTACTAACAAATCCGACAGACCTCACTTTTGCTTTCAGTAATAAGCTTTTGGGTAAGTGAAATGAATGACAATGTTACATGGGCCAGGGAAAAATTAGGAATACTCTGACATGAGGTAAACTCGGGAAAACAAAGTCAAGAAACTATAATTGATATGCTGCGAAGAGAGAAAATGTTCAATTAAAGCCAAAGAAGGCAGAAAAATGGCCGAAGACAAAGAAACAAGGACAACAAGAAAGAGTAAAAAGCATTGTAGATACTAATCAACATTATCAATAACCACTTTAAAACATCAATGGTCTAGGGGCGCCTGGGTGGCTCAGTGGGTTAAGCCGCTGCCTTCGGCTCAGGTCATGATCTCAGGGTCCTGGGATCGAGTCCCGCATCGGGTTCTCTGCTCAGCAGGGAGCCTGCTTCCCTCTCTCTCTCTCTGCCTGCCTCTCTGTCTACTTGTGATCTCTGTCTGTCAAATAAATAAATAAAAAATCTTTAAAAAAAAAAAAACAAAAAAAAAAAACATCAATGGTCTAAATCCTACAGTTGAATGATACTGTAATAGCACATTAAAAAGAACTAAAGATAAAGACACAAATACACATAAAAGGAAGGAGAGAGATGTACCACACCAATAGTAACCAAAAGAAAGCCAGCAGAGCATATTAATTTCAGACGAGGATGTCAAAGCAAGGAAATTTCAGATAAAGAGGGAATCATGTAATGATCACTGGGTCAAATCTCCAAGAAAATGTAACAACTCTTTGTGTATATAACAGAATAGCAAAATATGTTAGGCAAAAGATGGACCTATCTACAACCCCATATCAGTAACGCAAACATTCCAGCAGGAAGAAAATCAGGAAGGACTAGTTACATTGAACAGTACCAATGAGCAACAGATTTCATTGAAATCCATGGGATATGTCATGAGCAGCAAATCTCCCTTCTTCTCAAGTGCACATGCAACCCACACCAGGACAAACCACCTTCTGGGCTATAAAACACCTTAAATTTGAAACAACAGAAATCCTACAAATATGTTCTCAGGAAACAGCAGCATTAATCTAGAAATCAGTAACAGGAGAGTAGTTGGAAAACCCCAAAGACATGGAGATAAAAACTTCTAAATATTGGGATCAAAAAAGTCTGAAGAAATCATTATTTTGAATGATATGAAAATAGAATTTATTAAAAGTTGTCTGGTGTAGCAACTGTAGGAGCCTAGCAGGAAATTTATACCACTGAACAAATAAACCAAAGGCAAAAAAAAAAAAAAAATCAACAGTAATGTAAGCAACTACTTGAAGAAACAATAAAGAACAAACCTTAAGTAGAATAAAATAGTCCAGTTCAAGATGGTGACATGGAACGACCCTCCACCTATTTCTCGCACAGACACACTGAATCTACACCTACATATGGAATAATTTCCTTGGAAAAATCTAAACCCCAAAAACTAGCTAAGCAACTCCTGCATGCTGTTGAATGAGGAAACCCACAGGAAGGCAGGTCAGAGAGGCTGACAGACAATCTTGCCATAAACCCCACCCACAATCACCCACAATGTGTGCAGCAACCCACAGTCAGGAGGGAACTCAGAATCCCAAGCTTCTCCCGAGGAGTGAAGGTTCTGAACCCCACATCTGATACCCCCAACTTTTAAGACCTGAACTTGAATTTGAGCCCCCAAACATCTACCTTTGAAAGCCAATGGAGCCTGCATCCATGGGACCAAGAAGGCTACGCAACCTGACACAGTTATTAAAAGGCTCACGTGTGCAGACTCACCCAGCCTAGGCCCAGCATAGAGGCAGTTGACTGAAAAGCACCCCCACTTTTCTGTTGAAGAGGCTTGCTTGGGGGTGCCAGGGTGGCTCATTCGGTTAAGCTTCTGATTCTTGATTTCAGCTCAAGTCGTGAGATGGGCATGGAGCCTGCTCAGGATTCTCTTTCTCCCTTTCCTTCTGCCCCTCCCTGCTCTAAAAAAAAACAAAACAAACAAAAACAAAAACAAAACACGAGTCTTGCTTGCTCATCTTAAAGTGTCAGCTTGAAAGGCAGGCCTCTAATAAACACACATCTAAGGGCTTACTGAAATGTTCTCCCAAAACAGATAATTTTATGCTCCTCCTCTGTCTCCCTCCAGCTCTCCGGTATCTCCCAGGAGCATGTGCCCTTGACTGACACTCGTGATTTTTGCAGAAAATTTCTGCTGCCCAGAAAACACCTCTCGCTTGCTTGGCTCTGGTGGTTAGGGGGCTTACACCCGCTGGGTCCCACGAGACTGTAACAAGTGGAAAAAGAGTTCTTAACTGGCCACCACCATTACCAGGGCACAGCAAAGAAAGGCACCCAGTCTCTGTGAAAGAGGCCTATTAGTTTACCTTCATAGCTGTGATCTAAGGGGTAAGCTTCTAATTAAACACACACCTAGGACCAGAAACTGGGGAAGACAGCAGTGTGGGAGGGCTGCCAACACTGACTCCAGCTTTGGCCCTCCAAAGCTGGGCTTCGTGTTCCTGGCCCCTCGGAGATTAATATACAGACGTTAGGAATGTCCACCAAGGCCAGAATGAGGGGAGAATTGCTTTGGCCTTTCATCCATCTGTCAGAGATAACACTGTCATCCCCCTTCCTGGCACACAGGTGGTACCTCAAGAGCCGATGAAAGGTCAGCAGTCAGTCAGGGGCATGCATGTTCTCTGAGGTACGTGCAGCCCTCTGATCTCGCTACAGGGTCCCTCTGTGTGTCCCCTTCCTCTATAAAATCTGTGGACTGAGGCCTGGGCTTGTGGGGAACAGCTATGCAGCTGCGGTGGCCCGGCCTCTGACCGCTCTTCCGTCAGTAAGTTACCCTGAATACAACTCTGTCAACTGTGTGAAGTGGCCTGTTTTGATTTTGGTCTCAAAGCACCTTCTCCGTTTGAAGGATACTTCACTGTCTCTCCTCCATCTCCTCACAAGTGAACACCATCTTCCCATGCTCTCTCTGTCTTGCCTCCAGCCCCCCCAGGCCATATGAATGCCCAACATAAGAGCTTGTATACAAGCCCTGGAGTCCCTTCATACCCTGCCCTTGGTGGCCAGCAGGGCTTACAGTCAATGGGCTGGGACCAAAGAAAGAAACCATTCCTAACTGGTTGTTACTCACGGCTCAGAGCAGAGGAAGCAGGCAGAACTGTCCATCTCCCAGTCTTCACCTACAAGAGGTTATGTTGCAAACTTTAAAAGC